TGCTAATGAGACTATTAAGCATACTGAAGCTGCTACATTTCGCTATTTGAACTGATCTCTACTAATTGCATTTGGTGAAAGTGTCAGTGGGACTTCCTCCCTTGTATACTATTGTCTGATTTGACTTAAGCAGCAGTGCTAGTAACTGTTCAAACCCTCACTCAATTTGGGAACTACTACTCAAGTGGATCTGACAGCTTAGGACAGCAAGATCCAGTTGTACATTAGACCCTGTTAGTACCGTAGACGATACTTCCTCTGGTCCTGTCCAGAAGGTAACTGCAGGCAGCACTTACATACCTCACTATAGACAGTGGAAGGCTAGAATCTGTCGCCTCCCACTCCCTCGCTACAGACGCCATCGGTACTTGTACGAATGCAAACTATCTTGGTCACCAGTTGCCACATCAGTTAGCTCTCATTTGACGGGAAATGATGTACCCGATTCCTAACCTCCATTAAACAGTATATGGAGAGTGAATATCAGGAATCACATACTGAAAACCGTCACACACCACTGACTCCGCAGTTGAGAATCCAACTTCCACAAACAGGAGCATTACACTCATTGGACAGACATGCTAATACAGGAGATGGAGTGTCTATCCTTACACACTTAACACTAAAAGCAGCTGTGCAAAAGAGCAGACACACTCAAATACATCAATATTATCTAGTGCACGGTAGACATGTGCGATTCGTTTAGTTCCAAATCGAAATTCAGAGATTCGGATGTATCCGAATTCCGAATTACAGTTATAACGAATGCAAACAAATCCGAATTTCCGATTCCGAAATTAGTTAGCGGTAGTCTGTACGAATTGTCATTTTGCGGCGAGTTTGACGGGTTCGGACGGTCGTCGTGCGGCAGGTTTTTATTTTATTTTGGCGAGTCGGTGGGCGTCGTGCATGGTGATTGACGCTAGATTACATCAAAGGAGCAATTTTTTTTAAAATTAAAGGAATAGTCAAAAATTTACTTTTTTTCAATAAAAGGATTTTTTCTAAAAGTGTAGTTTGTTTATTTACTTTGAATTTAACCCTTTAGTGAATTGGTAGGGGTACAAGTATCCCTTACTCATTCACAAGGGGAGGGGGGGGCGGCCTCCGGGTGCCCCTTAATTAGACCCCGCCTAATTAAGGGCCCCCCCCTTTCTTGCCCTGACAGAGGTTCCCGGTAACGGGTGTGTGCAATGGTCGGTCTTTTCTGCCCGTGCGTGCCCGCTAGGGGGCGCGCGCGAGCAGAAAATAATTGCCGTATGGAGCAAATGCAGCAGTGCCGTCCGTCCGTTTTTTTTACTACGGGCGGACGGCAAGAGGTTAAAGAAAACTAATCAAAAGGTTTAGGCTAAATGTAAACATTTTGTTGCTTCCCAATTAGCTGCAAGTGTAAATAATGTAAGCAATATTCTCTGGTTTCCATTATTGCTAAGAGATATATCGTGTACAGTCCTTGCAGAGGCGTTAGGATCAGTTTAGGGACCCCCAAAAACCTTACTGGTTTTTCATTCTTGCTGTACAGAGCCCCAGGACCAAGGTATGCTATGATATTTGCCTATTGCCATACCAGTATTTGTACACACAAGAAGCTAGGATAGAGGCCACAGGCTTTTACAGCCTATGCGTTTTACAAAGGAAACAGACTATTATTTTAGGTGTGGGTGGATGAAGTAACGTAATTACACACATTCCTTGCTGGTGTAAGACACTTAAGGTCCATTTGTCTTTCGGGATTTATAAACATCGGGATGATCTTATGCAGGAATTACAAGGAAGTAAAATCACGACACTGAAATGGACCTGTCATAGCAGTAAAAATATTTTAAGTCAAAGGCATAGAAAATTCAAAAGTTAAAAGATTGAACAGTAGTCCAGCAACTCAACCCATATGATTTTATGATTCAAATATCTTTTTACCACTTTGACACCCCTCATTTTATTGACTCTATTACTGCCACTTTAAAACACCCTTTTAACTAGTTACACACTTATGAATAACCATGATTGTATAGCTAGTAGCAGTAAATTGTATTCAAGTGGACTTGTTTCAGCTCAAATTAGTTGTATGCTCCCACCACTCATGTGAACAGAGGAAGCCACTTGGATGAGGTATGATGGGACATAGGTTCCCAACACTCATGTGAACTGAGGAACCCACTTGGATGAGGGGTGATGGGATGTATGCTTCTGATACTTATGTGAACTGAGGAACACACTTGGATGGGTGGGAAGCCATGTTAGGAAGTATGTTACTGACAATCATGAACTGGTGACACCACATGGACAAGTAGTAATGAGAAGCATGTTCCCGACACTCGTGTGAATTGAGAAAGCCACATGGATGCGTTGTGAAATACCTTAAATATTTCACATGTTCACCAGACGTGTACTCTGCATGCTTCGCTAGTATCTTATCCTGCAATTATCCTGGGGTCCACTTTTTACTCTCTTTGCCTCACTACTTCGCTGTCGGCTCTGGAGGTCAAATATGCCATCCAAGCAATGATGGTCATCGCAGGCCTGTTCATGAAGTAACACCAGCTGTCTACAGCACCGATAAAAGCATGGTGTTACCAACTGGGAAACACTCTCCAATGTCAGTCTCATTAGACATGATCTGGACAAATTCCAGTTGATATTCTCAAGGTTGTTCTAGGCCTTTCCTTTGTGGAGCGTTGCCTAAAAGGTTTCAGCCAGGCATTTTGTTCCTCTTGCTCATGTTTCCTCTGTGTGCTCTCTGAACCTACCTGTGTGGTGGATTTTCAGGGTGTTTGTATGATCTCCTTTCTGTAATTCTTTTTAAAAATTGCAATAGACAGAAATTAAAAAAAAAACAAATTATATATGGTCATTTGACTGCGACTACCACTAGCTATACCAGGGATGGCAACCTAAGGTGCATGTGCCAGGATAGGCACACATGTCATTTCCAGTGGCATCCAGATCATCAAGTGGTATTATAGATATTTCTGGTTCAGACTGATTTTTTTTTTATCAATATGCAATATTGCAGAGAACAGTACGACACATTTGGTCCAAAGGAGCGGTTCTAACTTTATTGCAGTGCATCAAATTTTTAGAAGATAAAAAGGAGGGCGGTGGAATGTTCTGCAGAGCTAGCAAAAAAGGAATATAGAAGGTCAGTGCGTATCTTGAAGTTGTGAGACTAAATTTCTAGGGAGGTGAGAGCACTCTTGCTTAAAAGTTCGGGTTTTTACTAGAAATCAATGGGCATACAGCTCCTTTATACAAAATGATTGTTTATTAAATTCTGTGTTGAAACTTGTTGAGCAAACAGTGACTGTAGCCACAGCTGAGGTATTCTTAGTCTCGGGTGCCATCTGACAGAACTCTATTGCTGGCAGTGGAGATTCCCCTATCCATACTGCTTAGCCCAACAGGCTGAACGAGGGGGAAAAAAAAGAAAGTTTATGACCAGCTTTAAGTAGAATATGTGGCCACAGCATTGCATCATGTATTTTGATAACAGGGGGGAAAAAAAAGTCAGCAACTTGAAACTGACCTGGCCACCTGTGGTAGACTTTGTTCCTCAGTAGAGTGGTCTGATGCAAAACGGCAGGAAAATGTCACTTTCGGCATTTAGCCGAAAGTGCCATTTTCGGCCGGCGCCCCCCCTTCACTTTTCGCCCGGTTTCGCCCCCCTGCTGCACCCCCGGTTGTTACGCCACTGCATGCTTGTCATGCTAACTCTGGCTTCAATAGTTTGAGTCGCTGACTCGTCAGAAATTCTTATCTGTATTTGTTAAGAACTAGGAAAGTAGAAAAAAAAAACAGCCAATAATAGGAACCCCCTTATTTCCCTTGTGGACATAGAGCCAACAGTGGGATGATGAAAACAGAGGCTGCCAATTCCTGACTTTACTGCAACCAAGATCTTTGTTCTGAATGAGATGATTCTACCATAAAATGAGAGACTCAAAGAAAAATCTAGATCATGTTAGTACAATGAGTTTTATTTGTTCCTTCCAAGGTTTCAACACCTTGTAGGGTACTTTTTTCTTTTTTTTCTCCCTAAACAGGTTTATACAGTCTGAAAACGTTCAATAGTGCAACCTGTGCAAGCAAGAAATGACAAACATTGTCCTTTTCACATCCTTATAAACAAGTACTATTGGAGGTGAAAGGGGGAAAAAAACCTTACCCATATTATAGATAGCTATTCACATTTGTACATTACCATTTTAAACAGCTCAAGAAACTCTACAATGTCTTACAACATAATTGTATTCAAGTTACAGAGAAGGCAAAACCACACACACAGCAGGGAGCCTTGAGTGAACTACAGAACATTGTACAACTCAAGATGTGTCTTACTAGTCAAAATGTCTATTAAATTACAAGAAGCAATGAAAAATATGGAATTGTATTGTTCCCCTTTGTCATGAGCGGGGAAAAAAGAAAGAAAAAAAGAAAGAAAAAAACAAATGTAAAAAAAAAAAAAAAAAAAAAGGCACAAGCCCTTTTCTGCAGCACATTAGAAAATGTCATTTTTTTTACACTTAAAATATTACATGTCACAAATCTTAAGAGCAAATGTGTTGAAAGAACATTTTACACGGAATAAACTTAAATATTTAAAATACTATGTAAAAATAAAAATTATATGACTGGAGTTGAGGAACTGATCGTTCCCTGCAGACTTGAACTTTCAAAGTCCTTCTAGTCATGCTTTCTGAGCCATGCGCTGCATTAACCAATGAGGGGGAAGAACACAAATATACCCTTTTTAAATACAGTGCATTTATGAAAGCATGCGTCCTTATACACCAGTGAGGAGAACCTTATATATACATATATTGGTATATGCATCATACCGCCAATGTACATGCATTAAAGGGAAAACTCCCCCTTTGTAAAATGATTACCAAGACCCTGAGCACTGTATGGGAAATAACTGAAGACTAGAAAGCAATGAGGTACAGCATTCAAGAGAAAAACTCTGATCCATAAAGGAGGACTAAAAGAAAAAAAAAATACATTTATGGACTATGAATACAGAGGAGAAACACTAAAGAAAAGAAATTGAAAAACAGATGTGCCACGTTAAAAAGGAACTTGCAGATTGCCACAAAGACCTAGTAAGTCCAGGTGTCCAACAAAACAGAGCGTCTGTCTATGCACAAGTAGACTTCATTTCTTTGGAATCTGGCCCTGATTTGTGTGCACTGTCAGCATTTCCAGTTCCTCTGTAATATGTCAGTCTCTGCTGGGCAGATTTTCTACAGGGTGCTGAAATTACTGATACTCTGAGGATGAAGCTGTTGCCACATCTGCTGCTGTTGTACTGCAATCTGCTGAGACTGGTCTGAGGTTGACAGCAATGTTACTAGTGATGAGACACAATTTGCTGGGATGATTAGACCTGTCAAGGAAAAAACACAACCCATGAGTATACAAATCAACAGTGGTGAACAGTGGACGTTATTTAATACACAGTCCTTGCTACCCAATCAGAGAATCTAGCAGCCAAGCTTATTAATTCTGCATTTCACAGAGTATTAATGTATAACATTGGAAACACTTCCTATGTATTTCACCTGTGAGGGTAATGGACTGGAAAACATACTAGGCTAGATTAATGAGAATTGATGCACTTAACTACAACACACCATACAGGCAGTCTGCACTATCCAGTAAGGACGAGAGCTACAACATGATTAGTTTACCAGGTGCAAGAGAAGTTTCCTTTGATTTCATCATAAATAAACTGATGTGGTCTAAGGACCAAACACTTTAAAGTTCACACTTACCTGGAGATATAGGTTGAGATAAAGACCACTCCCATGCTACCTAATAGAACTTCAAACACTTACAGCAGAGTTAAACCCATCCATGCTCACCTTCCCCTCCAGCGAGGCGACGTCTGAACTCATTTCACAGACATCTCACTGGCTTCTTCCATTTTGACTTGTTGGGATGGCCTAACTCGCATGTATCCCAACACTCCGGCATACAGAGAATGTACCCCAAGAGCTGTGCATGTGCAGCTCAGTGTACATTGTAAAGCATCTTGCGAGGAGGAAGTGATTAGGCTTTTTTATGCAGAAGAAACTTGTAGCATGCATAGCTTTAACCCTTTTGTATGTCTTACAGCGCTTTGCTGCAGGCCCCTGTAAACAGACTACAGCCGCCGGGAGTCTGTTTACCAGTGTAAAGCCAACTTTTTGCTTGCCACTGAAAGCGATTCTGGTAGCTAAAAAGCTGCCAGGTTGCTTCTAGGGGCCGATAAATGGAGTGCTCCTCCCTCCCGACACCCCTTGCCTTGCTTCTGAGAATATGCTGCCCCTCCTGGGGGCCCGGGGCTGACATTGCAGGTGGCAGGGAGAGAGACCAGTGAACGTCTGTTCACAGATCTCCTTCCCACGGAATAAAACCAGAAGCTTTTTAACCATCATTCCCTGGGAAAGAAGCAAAACTGGTATTTCATTTTCCAATCTGGTGACAGAGTCGCTTTGAAAAGCTGAAGCCTGTAAAAAGTTTTTACAAGTAACAAACACCCCTGAAGTTCACTTCTTTATATTTACAGAAATAAATGTCAAGCTGTCTGAAGTGTACAATTGTCAATCAGATGGTTGTAGGGAGATGTTCTTTGTAGCAGAAACCAAAGCACAATTTCACAAAACAGGCTTTCCTCAGCATTTTTCAGCCACCCCAAGCCCTCATTCACACCGAGTGTTTTGTAGCACTGTTTCTGCTCAAAAAACCCTCTGCATAGATGCTGGACAGAAAGTCTTCTATTGATATAGATATGGAGGAGATCATAACAAATGTTTGCTTCAGACATAGGCGGATCCCTAGGCCAGATATTCCTCTCAGACTGTTCTGATTTTTGATTTTAGTGATGGGGGATAAATTGGCAAGAATAGGGTGATAGATATGTTCTGTTGTACAGAACTATTATATATTGTGTGTATGGCCTCTAGTGATCCCCTCCTACTACTTGACTATGCTAATGTGGAAGAAACTGTAATGCAATTGTATGCTATACTGATTGTGCATCATGTGCTATTTTATTGTTTTATTGTACTTTGGAAAATTAATAAAATACTTTGAAAGTCGAAAAACCCTCTGCAGAGGAGTGATCTAAGAAGAAGCCGGCTTGGAGCTTTGCTTGTTGTGTCTAGGTTTAAAAAGAAAACAACAAAACAAAAAACAGTTACACTCACCCAGTTAACCCTTGAAGTGTGGGGGTAGCCCCCATGCAAGGCTTAATTTTTTTTTTTGCTGGAGTTGTTCTTTAAGCTCCCATAATGTGCAGTGTTATGGTTGGTGAGACTTGCTAATAATGAAGCTGACTACCTGCAAGAGGTGTAAACAGGGAAACCCACATTGCAAGAAATGAATTGGCAAAAAATTGCAAGTCTGTTAGGACCACGTAGAGCCAGTTGCAGCTTCTCATATAACTGTTGCCTTTGCAGAACGCAAATTCATAGGACAGACATACTCCTTTTGAAAGCGCTAGTGATTGGGGTTTTTTTTAGCCAGTTTCCAGGACCTCAATACCACTAACTATTGTAAAATACTATACAATATATTCTAGCAATTTCCTTTATGTCCTACTAATTGACTATTTCTCCAACACGATGCAGTGCAGGCAACTCATCCTCACAGAAATCACTGGATTATAAATGAAACCTGCACCCAAAAATGGTGCAGAACTGAATATAACAATTTGTCTTCTACAGTTTCATCTCTTCCGTGGCCTCTGCCAAAGCCAGCCATCGCTGCCAAGCAAAAGGAACACATTAGTTTGAAGTAACCAGCAAAGTCAAGGGAAGACGCTGTACACCCCCACACTTTGACAGAACAGTGCCAAGGGATGCACTAGAAATAGGAGAATAGGCCATATGTTATCTCAAATTATCAAAGACTTGTACTCAGTTTGTTAAAAAAAAAAAAAACCCAAAGGGAACAGCTGATAGGCCAAAGAGTTCAATTTTTACAAGAGAAAAGGCATCAGGCAGTCCGTGACAAGGAAAGAACAAGTGACCCTGTATTTATTGATAGGCACGAGCGTATGGTAGAAACATGTATGCCTGGCACAATAAACACAGTGAATGGGGGGGAAGTCTTCATTCTATTCTCTGTAACCAATAGGGCACCCGTCGGTGTCCAACCAGCCCACAGATGAGCAAATCAGAATAAGACTACTCACAAAATAATTACAAGCTGTCAGAAATGCAGAACACTATCCTCAATATGCATAGTCCTACATCTCCATACACCGACTCACAAAATATGAGCTTACCAACACCCCCCCCGCCACCTCTACTGACCCCCGCTGAACGTACCTGTGTGATGCCCCCACCAGCCAATGTATGATAAGAGCCCTGTAGTATGTAATGAGCATAGTGCTCACAAATTGCGAGCTTGTATAAGTGTGCACAAGCTTCTATAGAGCATCGCCAAAGATTTCACAGCGGGCTTTTTTTTGTCTTTAAGCACTATTTAGCTCCAGTATGGGAATGTTAAACACAGATCTTAGGGACACGTGTTGACTTTAACCCCATAAGGACCCTTTCACTGCCAATGCCTTTTTGTCATTTTTGGCACACATGATATAAAATCACACATTTTAGGCCTGAAAATGACTTCAAACCCCCAAACATTAAATATTTTCTGCAAGCCAACACTCGGTAGAATAAAGTGGTAGCAGTTGCAAATTTTTAAGTTGCATTGGTGCAAGTCTTTAATCAAACCCAAACATTTAGTGAATAATGCACTTACTTTTAGAGCCCCAAAACACAATAAAATGCCCATTTTTTTTGTAAAATCTAAAAGTATTTTAAAAAATGAGGTTACGAGTAAATAGATACCCAGCATGCCCAGGTTAAAAATTCAGTACCCCAAAAAGTCCATAGTCAACGCTTTAAAAGCCCTTCAGGACATCAGTTTAGAGGTACGTCTAATTATTAAGAATTATTGCTCTCACTCTTGTCGTTTCTAGGAGCACCCGACATGTGTCCTGCTCCACACACACACACACCTCACCAGGACACAAGACTGTTTGCTGCTGGGCATCCTTGTCTGTGCAGGGCCCTCGTGGAGCAGGCTGGGACCCTAAACCTGGTATGCGACATGATTATTTGAGAAGTTGCTCATTGCTGTGTAGCTGTTTATGATCTTCTTCAAGCAGCAGGGGTGTGTGATGCAAGCAGAGTGCTGGTGTTATCCCTGCAAGAATATTGTCCTTCATCTTGAAGCAGCAGCTGTTTTAGCAGTTTTGATTCCAAGGTCGTCTTACCATATGCTTGCGTTTGTGAGTATTTGATTGTATTTATGCACTTGACTTCAATAAAAGTTTTATCTGCACTAGGGAAGGCGCCTTGTTGGTTTTGTGTTTTCTACAGATGAATTTGGTCTCAAATTGGACTCAATTTATAACATTTGTATCATGTGTTTTTTCTGGATTTTTGGTTGGTATTCTATCTCTATCTCTACCTATGATAAAAATGATAGACCTTTAATTTCTTTGTAAGTGGGCAAACTTACTAAATCTGCAGGGGATCAAATCATTATTTGCCACACTGTATAATGTATTGCTGGGATTTGTAGTCAGTGGCAGAACTACCAGGGTTGCAGCTGGGACTGGGCCCTGGCGCTCCACCATTGTCCTAAAATAATTAGTCTATAAAGTTTTAGAAAAACTGTCACATGACACTTAAAAAAAATAAAAAAAGGATTGTTAATTGGGATCGGCAAGTACTTGAGGAATAGTAACGGTACTGAAATCTTTTTATCAGTGCATCCCTAGTAGGCGGTCATTTTAAACCTAGAAACAAGTAATTCACAGACTAGCAAGTTTGCTGTAATGGGATGGCTGAGCTGGCAACATGTAGAACTGCTAGGAGTACAGTGTGATGTTCACTTTCTGGCATGTTTTTCAAATCTGATCCAACTTCTTCTGCTTATAAGTACTTCTGTAACCCCCCCATAAGAGGTGGGGAATTATGCGGTTTTCTTCACAGGAAGGTCAGATTTAGGTTATATTTACATGAGACTCTAAAAAGGTGGAGGCTTTATACCCAAACACTCACCAACAATTCTTTGTCCATCTTCAGCTCGTAATCTTACTATTTGCATTTTTACATTGGTGCCACTGACTGAGGCAAGAACTCCTTCCACTTTAGTCCAAACGCTCAGGACAGATCCACAGAGAACATAATACGTCCGGCAGCGCAGACCAATCTCGCACACCAGTCCTAAGCTTGCCTTCTTACAGTTGCCTCTCCTAGAGAGAATGTCACATTAATTTTAAGTATCTACTCAAAAATATGTTTACACAATTTAAAGTCTCCAATCAAAGCAGAGCCAGTAAGGACAATATTAGGACAACTCTGTCCTCACATATGCCACAAAAGAAAACCAAAAACATCTTGTGGGGAATTTATCAAAACTGGAGCAGACAAAATCTGGAGCAGCTGTGCATGGCAACCAGCTCCTCCGTTTCATTTTCAAATCTTAACTGAACAAACTGAAGAGGAGAGCAAATGATTTTTGTCCGCTCCAGTTTTCATAAATTCCCCACCATGAGTATTGACTTCTGGACCTCCCATAAAATCAATTTCTTGGACTTCAATGACTAACACAGTAATTCAGAGACTGTTGGGTTATACTGCCTGCTACAGGAGGATTTGGACACTAGAAAACAAGTGTCCAGCCAGTATAAACCCTCCTATCAGCATGCCTTAGTTTTGTGGAAAATCAGTACCAGAAGCATGATTGTAGGCACAAAGAGGTAGGACCTGTGTTCCTGAATGAACTTCAAGAAACAGATTTTAAAAGGCAAGTACAAAAATTACATTTTTTCTCTCATTCATTGAGGGATATAGGAGCCAAAGATTGTTGGGAACACCCAGTAATCCCTTACTGATTAGTAACATTAGGCTCAATTCACAAAGCTAACGCACCAGGGTGAGGATACTTATCTTCAAATGTGACAGTTATTAGTAATCCATGGAGATTTGAAAATCAGTCACATTGCTAAATTAGAGATCCTTACCCTTGTGTTAAAGCTTTGTGAAGTGAACCTATTGCAAATGTACAAGGAATGAGTGGAAAATCTACAATTTAGGCACAAGCAGGAATAAGTTTGTTTTTTGAAAAGAGATACAAGACGACAGATGTACTTGTGGTAAAATACGTATGTATTCCATAATAAACAGCTACACTATAGAACTAGGGTCAATATGCATTTTTTTATTTACATGACTTCTGATGAATACTCACCAATAAGCATGTGTACATATTTCAGCTGAAGATGTATACTGTTCTTTCCAGTGAGCATAAGCATCGTCAGAGAGTACCTGAGGAAAAAAAAAACAACATTTTAGTATGACCTTAGCCATCTACATAAAAACAATGAAGAAAAAAAAATCCCCCCCCCAAAAATGTGATCCTCATCTCCCAGGGAAAGCTGAGCAGTTACATCAATTGCCTATAAAAAAAACTAATGTAACCTGCAATTATTTCTAGATTCTTGAAGGGAAAAGAACCCCCCCAAAAAAAAACCCAAAAAAAAAAACCTACTTTGACTACCCAGCAGCCGAACATTTGCTGAAAGTAAACTCCCTTTAATACTTGGGAGCAGTGGTCAGACTCTCCAAGAAACATCCAGCACAGGGTATCCCTTGCTGAAGCTCTTAGGATACAAAAAACCCCTGAAAGAGCAGTGTTTCCATTACTCTATATGCAGCTTGGCTGCATTA